GGGAACACAGGATTTTCTTATTTCTTTTTTTTTTTTAATTTATTGGTATGTGGTGCTGAAGATCGAACCCAGTGCCTCACACAGACCAGGCAAGCGCTCTGCCACTGAACCACGGCCCCAGCCCTCTTACTTCTATCTTAAAAAACATCTGACAATAAAGATACACTGTGGGATCTATAACACTGTAAAGTAAAATGCATGACATCAATAGCATAAAGGAAGCCAGGGGAGAAATGTAAATAGGTATAATACCACTTAATAAGTAAAATCTGGACACTCTAAACACTGAAGCCATTCACCATGTAACAAAGGAAAGACTTATGGCCAAAAAACCAACCTAGGAGACAAAGGGTTGGTATCTTTAAAACATGAAAACATTATGATTGGGTAATTGCTCTTCCAGGAGTTGACTCTACAGAAATACTCGAACAAGTGGTCAAAGATATGTGGACAAGAATGATGACGGTCGCATTATTTGTAATCATAAAGCATAGGACTAAATCAATGTCAAAAGAGTATGAACCACGGAAGACTTTCCCATACATTTCCGGGTAGTGAAGGACTGTGTCCTAGCTCGTTCTTAGCGGTTCCCTTATGAGAATCAGCAATTTACATTCTAATTTACATTTACATGAAAATTTGCATTCTCTTTTATACCCGAAGAAACAAAGGATTGGAGAGTGAGGGGAAGTTTCTTTCTCCACTTTCAAAGGTAAGAATATCTTAAGAAAGGATCAAAGTATTTAAAAACCAGGAGCAAGCACGTCCCTGGGTGGGCTCGAACCACCATCCTTTCGGTTAACAGCCGAACGCGCTAACCGATTGCGCCACAGAGACGCCCTTGTCCCCGCACTTCAACGTGGAGGGAATAATGACACAACTCCGAGTGTTGCCGCCAACTTCTTAGGACAACAAAACCTGCAAACTGCGACTCCGTGGAGGATCGGAGAGGTGGAGTCGCTGTGCGGCCACGACCCAGACCTGGGCGTAGGGGGTCCCGAGATCCCAGGGACAGCCGAACGGCCTCCCCCCGCCCTGCCCCGGCTGCTCCAGCGGCCGCGTCCCGCAGACGCCCGGGGCCCACTCCCCGCGCCTGGACCGCGGGCTCCGGGCGGCTCCGGGGCGCCCCCTGCCTGCTCCGCCCGCCCCCCGACGGCCGTCCCTGGGCTCGCGCTCCCCGCGCTCAGCTCGGCTGCGGTCGGGGGAGTCCGGCGGCAGAGCGGAGCTGGAAAGGGGAAAGGGGGCCAGAAGCAGGGGAGGCTGGACGGCAGCGGGACCTTCAGTGTGCCTGAGCCTCAGAGGATTGGAGAAATCCTCAGAATGCAGGAAAGTGTCCGAACCGAGAGCGGAAAACCGACAGCAGACACGGGAGTTGACCAAGAAAGCAGCAAAGATGAAGATGATGACGACGACGACTTCGACGACGACGATGGGTCTTCACATTTAAAAAGGAAATAAAAAGCAAAACAAGGGGAGAAAATTGGTGCCAGTAGGTCTAGGCACGCGGCGGCGATCCCGCAGGATTCAGCGTACGGACAGACGGCGCGCAGGGAACCGGGACAGTGGACGGCGGCCCCCGCAGCCCGGCTTCTGGGGCGAGCCTTGCGGAGGCTGCGACCTGACCCTGTCACCCTAGGGAAGTCGCGAGCAGTGGGGAATGGGGGCGGTTAGGCCGTAGCTAGGAGGTTGGCGGGAGAGGGTCCTCGAGGTCCTCACCTTCATCTTTGTGGTGGTCACTGTTCATGTCGAACAAGGTGTTTCTCAGGACTTCAGTCCCTAAGAACAATTCCCTTTCTTTATGTAGTTGGGTAAAGAAACGGGCAGTCAGAATAGGAAAATGGTGAAGGACGTCAAGACCACCGTTATGTGCTCTATCATGTCAAACAACAGCCATTTCCCTAAAAGGACAAAGACTCCATTCTTGCAAAAAACACAACTACACAAATTAGCTGAGCACGCACAGGCGACAATTAAAATCTGTTTTTTTCCTTGTGGGATGGGTTTTATTTTAAAAAAGAAAAAGAAACCTCATAAGTGAAACCATACAGTACTTGTCTTTTTGTGACTGGCTTTTTTTACTTAATATATTGCTCTGAAGGTTCATCCATATCCCAGCATATGTCAAAATTTCCTGCCTTTTAAAGACTGAATAATATTCCATTGTCTGCCTACCATCTTGTTTATCCATTCATTCATCAATGGGCACTTAGTGGCTTCCACCTTTTGACAATCATGGATAATGCTGGGCATACAAATATCTCCTCAAGACCTTGCTTTCAATTTTTTTGGGTATATACCCAGAAATGGAACTGCTGGATCACATGGTAATTCTATTTAAATTTTTTTGAGTAGTCACCATGGTGAAGGACGTCAAGGCCACCGTTTGATGTTACACCATTTTACATTCCTGTGAATAGTGCCCAAGACTTCCAGTTTCTCCATATCCTTCAACACTTCAACACTCATTTTCTGGTGTTTTTTTATGGTAGCCATCTTAATGGCTATGAGGTAGTCATGATTTGCATTTTTACGAGTTATGAAAGGGGGTAATTGTAAATGCCTAGCATAGCGGAAAATGATACATGGTAAATGTTAGATATCTAACAACTTTGAAATAAGAAGTATAAGTTATAATCTTTGCTACCTTTATAAACTGGAAAGACATCGAAACTTACCAAATCTCAATAGACATGCCCATTTTCTGGTACATCATCAGTGACATTGGCATTTACTAAGGCACTACTAAATTATTGATAATATATTCACTTTTTAAGAGGACTCTGCAATATAAAGGAAAACGGAAAATACAAAGCTGAAGCCAAAGAAGTAGGTAACTATTAGTGACAATGCAAGTAGGATTGAGAGTGGGGGAACCAAAAGAGATGCCATGTCTCAATTCAGGCCTTCATTCCTGTTCCTCCCAGCCACTCCAGGTGACCCATCCTCCAAGATCAGCGTGGCTCAGATGAGGTCCAAAGCAGTGCAGTGGTTTGGTGTTCTGCTGGACCCTGTGAATGTGTTGTTCCCCAAAGCATGTGTTAGAAATTTAATCCTCAGTGCAATAGTGTTGAAAGGTGGGGCATAACAGAAAGAGTTCAGGTCCCGAGGGTACCACCATCACAAATGGATGAAATGCCAATTAAAAGGGTTTGAGCCTGCAAATTCAGTCTCTTGATCTTTCTTGCCATGTGATGTCTTTCACTATGTTATGATGCAGCAAGTAGGCCCTTGATCTTAGACGTCCCAGCCACCAGAACCAAAAGCCTTTATAAGTTCTTTATAAATTGGCCAGTCTCGGGTATTCCAAATCAGAGCGTCTTTTCAGCAAGCCAGCTTCTTTAACAGCAGCTGGACATATTCCACTCCTTTTCTTTTCTATCCCTGAGAGAAAGGGGCTCCTGTCACAGCCACAGAGTGGACGGACTTCTTTAGGACAGAATGCACTTGCGTACGAAGACGCGAGAAACTGCCCCTCAAGGACATGATCACAGCGCCGGGATGCCCGGAGAGAAGTGTGTCGGTGCTGCCTGCAGCCTCGAGTGAGAGCCTCTGACCGCCGCAGAGCTTACCTAATAGGCGCGAGCCCGCGACAATTAAAATCTTAACAGGCTCCAAAGGGGTCAACTTCCCCTCATGGGCCTTTAAGGGATGTCAAGAGACCCTGGTGGCACTCTTACGCCTCCCCTACTCTCTGTTGGGGCTTCTGAACCTTAACCTCCTCTTTAATGAGTTTGCTTGCTTAATCTCGGCGTTTGCGGTGTTCATTCTTGGACTCCGTGGAATACTGACCGGATGCGGATCTCTACTGGTACCATATGATGGAGTGTCATCTGGGGTTTAGGTCAGGCTGGGTCAGAGTTACCGTGGGGTGACTGTTGTTCTAAGATGGAGAATATGCTTCAAAATAGCATCACCTACGTCCAGTCCTCCCTAACAATTAGCCTTCTGCCTTGTGCCCAGAGCCACACGGTTCTAAATCCGAGTCCTTGTAACGTCGTGCTAAATCGTGCCCTGTTCACGGAGTCCATGAATGAGCACCATGAACGCCGCGGTGAACAGGCGAGTTTTATTTAAGAAAGTGATAGACGTCTCCAGAGGGAGGGGGATCTCCGAGCCGAGGATCCGCGGGAACTTACCTTTCTTTCTCATGTCCCCTCAGAGCTTCTTTCTTTATTAATCCTTGTCTTTCCTCCCTTCTCCGTATAACTAGGAGCACGAGCGCGGAGGTCAACCGTTAGCAACCCTCAGTTCTCTCCCTGGTAAGCAGTCGTCCCACTTTCAACCCTTAGCATTCTTGCCTACACCGACTGCCTGACCTTTTATACCTACCTCAACCTTTTGGCAGAAAATATCAAAAAGTGAGACGCCAGCTCTGAGTCTGATCTGTAGCTCCCACGAATTAAATGGGCATTAATCATCTTTCTGGTTGAGATATAGCAAATATTGGTGGGACTTTTAATGAAACAGTGGAAAGGAAGCGAGCGCACTTGATAGCGCGCGTACTCTTAAAGCAGACGGCAAAACTATAAGGGGGCCAGAGAAGAACGTAGAACAATATTTTTTAAAAGACAATAAAACCGCTTGAACGTTATCTGACCAGCTCATGAAATGGTTCACGACGTCATCTTGTAGCGAGAAGATTAACAAAAGCGAGACAACACTGAGGGAAGGTAGAAACCCTACCAACCTCTTTAACCTGGGCGTGGTCTGAAAGGATTCGTTCGCCGTTAAGCCGTCTGTCCTACACAGCACGCCCTACAGCAGGGTCCACGCACAGGAGAGAGATCACAGAATACACTAACTCAGTGGTTGGGGAGTCTGTATCATCTGGATAAAACCTATGCGGGATTACCTGGTATATACTTCTAGTGAAGCAAAAACTAGGAAAACTCAAATTTTCTACCAAGACAACCACTAAAGAAACTTTTCTCTAAGGGGCTAAATTCACCCATTTTCAGCGGTGCGCTACACAATTAACTATTCTTTCAATGAGACCAAGTCAGGGGAGAGCGCGAACGCAGTCCCCCACTACCACAAATTATGCAGTCGAGTTTCCCCGCATGTGGAGAAACCGCAGGGGTCAGCACACCTCAAGTGCAATGGTAGAGCCTCACCCTGGGAGAACCACCTTCCTGATCATGGTATCCCCCCTGCCAGGTAAGTATGAAAATGCTGATGCACAGGCACAGTACAGCCTCCTCTCCCCTGACTGTACAGTCATGGTCACCAACCTCCCTTTCACTTGTCCATTGTGATTCTTCCGAACCACTCTCCGTAAAAGACTCCCACCCACTGTCACCCACAAGACAAGCCACAGCGAGCCAACACACTACCTTTCATCTATATCTCCCGACCAGCAGCCCCTGCGCCGCCTCATCTGCATACTTTACCTAGGTCAATACTTGGCCTAGGTCAATTCGGCCCACCTTTCCTCCCTGACTCTCAGTCTCCTCTTGATTTACAGCGGCCACAGTATTTTTCTCAACATGTTTTGGAGAGTATCCAACGGAAAGGGGAAAACGCCTGTGGTGATTGGAATGAGGGTTCACTTTAAAAACATTTGGAGAAATTGTGGGATTTGACTAGAATACCAACTAAACTTTTGATAATCTGGTGGTATCTTCCACTGATGGCCTGATAACAATTTCTCATCTTCCTTAGTAAGAAGAGTTGAAAAATTATTCAAGGAAAAAGAAAGTGAATCCACTTTTAGATGCTTTACAAGTATATCCCACAGGATATGGCAAAGGCATGGGGCTACCATTGTTGTGTTATTCAACAAATCTCCTCTGCTGTCCCTCAAGGACAAAAGGACCCCCTTTCCTTCATTTGGGAAGTGTAAACCCGATGCTTTCTAGTTCTCACCATGAAGAATGGGGCCCAGAGACTACTGTAGGGGATCTGTAGTCTCTACATGAAGAAACTCAAATATTTTGTGTCTTCCTTCCTTCCTCCTCCTCTTCCCGCTTTTTTCTTCTCTTCCTCCTCTTTCTCCACATCTTCCTCCTCCTGTTATTGCCTGCTGATGGTAGTTGGATTCCTCAATTTTTTCCTTTCCCCATTGTTAGTCTCAGGAAGGTGGAGAAAGGAAGAGGGACTGGGGATAGGGGAACATGAAGAAAACCTAGTCCTTAAAGGCAAGGTCTTAGGTTTCAGACCTTGGCTGGGCTATGTGACCTGGGAGGAGTCACTTGTTCTCTGTGGGTCTCCAGGGGTTCATCTGCACTACAGCAGTGATCATGGGAATGGAAATAGATCCTTGGAGGGAGGGTATGCTGCCTATGGCTCGATTTCCACCTCCAAACACAGTCAGGCTCCCACAGTCAGGGCCTGAAATGATAAGCACTGTGCTAGCTCCAGTGAGTGCTTCTCCATCACAATTGGGGTTCTGTAAGGATGGCTGTCAATGGAGGGTAGGTGGAGACATAACAGCAAGTGGAGACAGTTCTGCAGGAGGCTGGAACCATCAGCCTCTTAAATCTGGGTTTGGCCTGAGAGTAGGTCAGCTCTGTTGCTGGGGGGAAGAGAGGATAAGGAGGAGATCTGGGGAGGGAGGGTCATGGGGAAGAGAGGTGAGATGTGAATTGAAACAGTGGGTGTTTGTGCCATGCTTCCAGCCAGGACATTATCATATGCCATCTCAGGGAAATCAAATGCTATGAGGACATACCTGGAGCAGCCTTGCCAGAAAATGTCTTTGGACAGTATCCCTGCAGGCTTTCAGCAGATATGGAAAACATAGTTTGCAACCACAGGGAACCCTTGTAAGGAAACCCCAAAGAGCTTACTTTCACAAAGCACTTGACCATTTCAAGGGACAATTTTTGAATTATTCTGTGAGCAGGAAGTGTCTAACTCCATTGGGACTCCTGAAACAGAACCCAGAAGATGAATGGACCTGAGATTCTCAAGGAGGAAACTGGACTTTTGCCAATGATGAGCTGGTGGTGGTGGTGGCAGTGAGCAGAGAGCATGAGTTCTTACTGACCTTCAGTAGCCCTGGAGAAAGGAATGATAAAAGGTGACATCCAAGTTCCTCAAAGATCTCAGCCTTTTCTCAGAAAAGACATATTCCTCCCCCTTATTAGTCCCCCACCCCCCTTATATCTGTAGTTCCTCAACCCTTAACCACTTGGAGCTGAGAAGCTGACTTGTGAGCAAAGCTCACTCTTCTCCAACCTTCTGTCACCGAATAAAGCCTTTCTTTCTCCCCCACACTGTTCTCCAGGACATTGGTTTTCCCATGGGATGAGCCTTGAAATGCATTAAATTAAAGGTCAAGCAGCAGACTGGAACAAGTCCCGCCCTCCTCCAATCTGTTCACTTCAAAAATGACTCCATGCCTGAATATATAGGCATGTAATATAAAATATAAAACTGTATCAAATAGGGCAAAATGTTTTAACAGGCTTTCTTCATAAAGGAGAACGTCTTATTGTCAAAAGTTATAAGAAAATATGCTTAACATCATTACTCATTAGGGAATACAAATCAATTCCATACTGAGATATCAGCACTCACTCACCATTGTGGCTACATTTAACAGAAGTACTGCACCAAATGCTGACAAGAATGTAGAGCAACTTTACCATCATTGCTGGTGTGAAACTAGTCTAGAAGAGTGGCAATTTATAGTTACATTGAATTTGTACTTAGTTGATGACCCAGCAATTATAGTACTTGAATGAATCACAAGTGCACCAAATGTGGCAAAAATATTCATCAAAATAACTAATCAATAACATCAGAATTTAGAAGTGATTTAATAACTAGGCAGATATATCTCATGAACATAATGAGCTAATTGTAAAAAATACATAGCATTCCTGTAAATTGTAAGAATAGGTAATAGTAAGCTATGGAACAGTGATTAAGAGGGGTAGTTTAGGAATTACCTGGACAGGGATGCTATAGATCTTTCTAAGATGATGACAATTTTCTGTAATTTGAGCAGGGTGTTAATTACACTTGTTAAAATTAAAACAACTGCACTAAGATTTATTCGGTTTGTGTGAACTATAGTTCAGTAATTTACTGTCCCCATTGCAAGCAGTAGATACGGATGGGGATGGGGAATAGCAGGTGCAGGCAGTGACGACTAGTTTGGATTTCTTTTTAGTAAACGAATCAAAAGCTCATCAGTGTAAAAAGAAAAAACAAAAAAGTCCCACTTATATTTGAGATATATCTGTTAGGAAAATGCTCATGACCATAATATTTCATCAGTTATAGATAAAACATCCTTGGAAGGCAGCATTTCACCTTTGGAAATGTTTACTGCTTAACTGGGAGACAAAGAGCAAGCCCAAGGTTTCCTCTGGACTTGGCAGCCCCCAGGTTTTCGCACTGCGGGGTTTTAGTCCTCTTCTGACTGAATTGCGGTTAGAGGCCTGCAGTTTACTGTCCTCTCTGACAGCTAAAGCAAAAAACGGCCATCGTGCCTGAATCACAGAATACAAGGCTGCACTGTGACTCGGACTGGAATCAAGGTTGTTGCAAACACAACGACTATGACAGGATGTGAGTGGTGCACTTTTTTTTTTTTTTTTTTTTTTTTTTTTGGATGTCTGGCGACCCCTGTGTCTTCCTCTGGGATGCGCTTCTCCGTTTCTCATTCTGCTACAAACAAAACCAACTCTCGGAATCCGGCCGGCGCCTCCACCTCTTGCAGGCGTCCTTCTCTCATCCACCCTCTGCTCTCTTTCGATCCTTTGCAATTTTCTCCTTCGACCCCGTTTCCGTCTCCGCTCTCGCCGACCGACCTCGCCGACCACCGCGGCAGCCAGGTAGAACCGGCGGATCCTGCCGACAGCCGCTTCCCTCGGGCGCCGCGCAGCTGAGGCCGCGGAGCTGCCGCCCCGACGCTCTGGACGCCGGCTTCCGAGGCCGCGGACGAGCCAAGGCCCGGGGAAAGCCGTGCTGCTGGCTGTCCGGCTTCAGAAGCCCCCAGCACACAGGTTTCCAAAGAGGCGCTCGCCCCGTACCATCCGGTTGCGACACCTGGGGCTTGCACAATTGTCTTGCACAAAACGGGACACACCATCCCGCTTTCAGGCAGTCCGTGCTCATTTATGAGACTGAGGAAATGCACAGCCTCCACCACCGGCGTCTCTGTGGCGCAATCGGTTAGCGCGTTCGGCTGTTAACCGAAAGGTTGGTGGTTCGAGCCCACCCAGGGACGGGCTTGCGACCTTTTAAACAAGGTTGGAGTTTACAGTTTCTAGTAACTGCGGCTGGATCTCGGGAAGCATGTGACACTTTTAAGTGCAAACTGTGTTTTCACTTGTTCTGCTAACATCTGTCATAAAAGCAGAAAAGTCCGTGCAATAGCAACAACGTTTACTCTTCTCCTCATGGATCTGGAAATCAAACACTACAATGTACCATAAATCTTATATTCATAAGATTGGTGTGAGAGAGAGGAAAACAAACATTATATATATAAACTTCATTTTTTTGGGGTGCCAAACAAAATAGGGAAGAATACTTGTAACTATTACATCCTTATTTCTGCAAAAGCCCTTATGATGGTACCTGGTATTTACTCTGCCACAATCCATTTGCTGTGAAGTGAGTTCATTGAGGACATTGTACTGTCATGTGTAACTAATTAAAACAAATAAAACATTATACATATAATATATATGAAGCATTGACGATATTAGTGACATTAACAATAAATTAATGTAAGTCCCAATTACAATCATATCATGGAAAAAAAGGATGACACAAGAACAATTGGTGTGGCCAGACTTGGTGGCAGACACCTGTAATACCAGTGACTCAGGAGGCTGAGGCAGGAGGCCAGCCTCACCAAATTAGAAAAGTTCTAGGCAACTTAGTGAGAAACTCTCTTAAAATAAAAAAAAATAAAATACAAAGTGCTGAGGATGTGGTGAAGCAACTCTGGGTTAAACCCCCCCTCAAAAATCTAAATAAACTGTAGCTAGTAAGGAGATTGAATTGGTAATTAAAACTCCTCCAAGAAAAGCCCTAATGGTTTTATTGGTAAATTCTACCAAACATTTAAAGAAAAGTGAACACCAATTCTTCTCAAATTCTTCCCAAATATTGGAAAGGCAGAAACACTTTCTAACACAGTCTTATGATGTCAGAAACACCCTGATACCAGACCCAAATGAAGAAACAAAAACTGCAAATTATG